AATGCCATTGGACGGGTCTGATGAAAATTTCAAACTTTAAGTCGTAAAACGTTGGCGTCAGCGAGCGTTTTTCTCGAAGACACACGAAATTTTAAAACGCTCGCGAGCGAGTGGCAAAAATTTTCCAACCTTCGCCAATCATTTCCCGGAGTTTGGTGACCGAGTACTTTCGTTAAAAAAAAAATTTTGAAAATCCGAGCACGCTAAGTAATTTTTTCCAGAAAAGCGTTTTTTTCCTTGTTATATTATATAATAAGATAGTTATTCTACATTATAAAGTACGTTCCATTCAAAGTAATATTTTAAATAATCTATCTAATACTATGATGCAATTAATTTTTACTTAATCATTGATTATTGTAATCTTCAATTTAATTTCATAAATTTTAATAATTTAGACTGAACTAAGAAATTGATTTTTAGTGATGAACGTTTTACATTTGTTTAAGTAGTAAATACGAATAATCGCTTATTGTCTTTGTTTTGATAAAATAGAACCTCAAATATTAATCAAAGACAATTAATGTATTCCATTACAACTTAAAAATCTAATATTAAATGATCCCATGGATCATTAGTAAATAGTAAATACTGGCAAATTTAGATTTCAATAATTGGAAGTTTATGATTGTCTGTATTATTGTAAAATTACAGATAAGCCGAATAATGTCTATTGTCATATTTCTATTAAAATTCTTTAAACTATGGGTTTAAGGCTATGGGTCTTATNTATATTAAAATTCTTTAAACTGTAATTATTAATTATTTTTTATTAACTTTACAGGCTATGGGTCTTATAAATCAAAGCTAGAAACCAAAATAATTTTTATTTTTGTCCATTTTTCTTATATCTAGTAAATTAGTTCATCTATATCGATATTCTTTTAGTAAATGATGTATAACTAATTCAGAAACCAACAATATTAAGAGAATTAATGTTTACAATGCAAAACAAATATTAATTTAAAAACTAAAAAATATTAAACTCAAAACCCCAAATAAATTACTGAAAAGTCGTTGATACGTATTTCGAAAACAATGTTCCATTATCAACGTTAAACACATACTCATGGTTGTGTTTATGAATATTGTATGAATATATAATGTTTAAAAAGTTATGGAATACTTTTTAATAAAAAATTGTTGTTATTTATGAATTTTTATATTATAATCTGTAATCTATAGACTAATTTCCATCATTAATAATGAATTCATCATTATTACATTGCAAGTGGCGGAATCGAGAATAAATTGAAGCGGATTCGTAGTAGGTCGGATCGTGTTAACTTATAATTCTAATATTTGTGTTATAATTCTAAGAGCATTTAAAATTGTAATGAAAATTAGTGTATGTGTTAGTCAATAGTTTTATAGATTATTGTTCATTTATTAATATAGAAATAATAAATAATCATAAATAGAAATAATCTATAGAATCGTTATGAATTATATTTATACTGATATTATTTTATAAAATTGTTTAATAACCTGATTTTGTAAAAAGGGCTAAGCCCACTAAATTTATAAATAAATAAATAAATTACAAGTATTCGTTTTTCTTTATTTAACAGAGTAGTAGACAACAATGTTATTTGCCATACTAATTTATTGAGATTATTCTAAAAAAATTGTAGCTATAATTAATTTATAAGTAATAATGGTTCTCTTTTTGATCTACTAAACTGAGGGTATAATTAAAAAATAAAATCTGTCAACATTTTTAAAAATAAATAATATATTTTGTATATATTTAAGCACTCTAGACTGTACAAATATTATTAAAGCCATTTTTATTTTAAAATTTAATAATTGAAAATATTTAAAAACATTTATTTTCGTTTGGTATTTTTGGCATTAGGGTCAATCCATGCCAAATCATCCAGAAGTGGTTGCACGACCACCTCATATTTTTCTGAAATTTTCAGGGTTTATTCATTATGCCATATTTAGATTAAAACAATTTTTTTTTTTATGATCTTCCCATTTTTATGGCTATTTCAAGTTAAAAAAAGTTAAAAATAGCTAGGTTATTAAAAAACACACAGATTATTCAATTTCAACTCAATCGAATTAAAATTTTAGATTTGAACCTATTATAACTTAAAGTTTACATTAAAAAAAAAAAAAAAAATTATGTGAAATTCTAAACTTAATGACTTTCAAAAAATGGCGCTTTTTTGTGAAAATTGGCGTTTTTGAGCTCACTTAAAATCATTAAGAAGTTGTTATTTTATTGTGATTTTTATATGTGGTACTGTATAGTGTATAATCTATGTTCAACTAAATTTCAAATATTTAAAACAATTATCTTGGGATTTAGAGGCCTACAAAGTTAGAAATTTTATAAAAATACGTTTATTCTGAGTGCAATATCTCTGTTGGGCAACCTAATTTCCAAAAAAAAATTTTTTAGTTTTGTAGATATATTTATCTGTTTTATACACTATAAAAATTTGAAGTTTTAGAAAAATGTGTAACATGTAAAATTTAGCATTAGAAAATCAGTAAAAATCAAATAATTTAATGATAGTTTTTTGTTGTTTTCAAAACCACATTTTTGTAATTTTTTTTGTCTATCATTGTAAATGTAATATATTATAATTCAATATAATTATTAGACACGTTATAAATATTCAATTCATTATTTTAATCTCTGTAAATTGCCGATTGGCGTTAGCTAAATAAATAAATAAATTATTTTAGTTCGAAAATAAAAAATAAATAAATAAAATTATTATGATAATATTGTAAAATATTTATAATCATGGTTTTTTTAGTAGTTAGAATATTGTGTCCCAGGAATAGAGAAAATCACAGATTTTTATCAATTAATAACAATAACATAAGAAGTCTTAAGATATCATTAACTGACATTTATGAAGACACAATACATATATATATATATACAGACTATATAATTAGTTATTGGGACGAAATTAAAAAGCAGACCACAAAAAAATATATATATAAGAATTTACTAATTCTGGAATTCATCAATTTCACAAAAGTCATTATAGATTGGCCTTTACCTATTGATTTAATTACAAAATATATTGGATTGTCATATTATAATAACGTTTATGATATCATAGGCANGTCATATTATAATAACGTTTATGATATTATAGGCACTGGAAATCATTTAGCTACGTCGGGGGAAAACAGTGACAATGATATAAATAAAGATATTGGTCATTTATATGTTTCTGTTAATGAATTTTTGGAAAATAACTGCAGACCAATACAGTCATATTCAACGGAGGTATCTAGTTGGTACAACGAACTTAAAAAAAAATGTCTTCAAGTGACATTATCTGGAAAATCATAATACAACTCATTGATATAAAAATAGAAATAATGGAAATGTATTTAAAATTAGGACATCGGCATAAAAAAAAAATATACCTATAATACGTAAATAGTTTATTTAATATATTTACTAGAGTTGGCCCGATATTATTTTACTTTGTTATCCTATTATTCAATATTTAGTACTAATATTAAACTGACGAATTGAAAGTTTTCTAGGATTGGCGTGGAATCTCAATTATGTTTATTTTTGTAATTTATTTGCCGTCATTTAGTACATGATCTTAAATTTTAAATCAGTGTAAAATTTATTTTTTCAGGATTTATATCTACAACACTCTGTATGTACATCTATAATTATGTAGTTACTTTCGTTCTTCGATGTAGGCATATGTGACGGAGTATTTGAGGGTAGGAAATCCATTTTATCTCTTCACACCTGTCTAATTTTATGTCAATTGTATTTTTTGTTGCAATGATTATTTTATACAAAGGGGAGAAAATTTATTAAAGGTCTATCGGCCCAACTCAAATAATTATATTGTTATAATTTAATTTTTAATTATTAATAAAAACTCATTTTCTCCAATTAAATTACGGAGAGTATTATTTTCAATTGTTATATGATTTCTTTTAATAACTTGTTTGTTATTTGTAACAGTTTCTCTAAAATAATTGTTTGATTTTTGTTTTATTCAATAAAGTGCCATATATCGTCGATTAAGCGTCAATATCTTGTGAATAATAATTTTTATTATTATTATTTTTTTTTTTTTGGGGGGGGACAGGAAGAATAAACAATATTTTATTACGCATATTAGTACTACAAGTATGATATTTTTATAAATAAATATCATAGAAAGTATAAAATTTTCATGTTAAAAGTTAAATATCAAATAGTGTTTCTAAAGCAAAAAATACGAAATAAGATATTTTTTCAATCATTCTGTAAATTTGGTTACAATTACTTATAAGATTTTGTCAAATAGCTAATTTTATAATAAAAGAATTTTTTATATCCAATAATACAAAAAATTCTCCCATAAGTGAATAGTTTATCATGCAAAAATATATTTTGTTGAAGTAACAAAAATATATGATCTAGAACAACAATAAAATGTTACCTCTTGTCACGGTAGCGGTTAGCGATACGACAACGAATTCAAAATAACATAGAATTAATAATAATTCTATTTTTTTACAGTTAATATCTTATTTGTTATATAATACTTATAATTAAGAAAACAACTACAATACTTTTGTAACTAACATATATCTTATGCACTTAATAACACGGTGTAAAATTTACAAAGTGAGTATAAGATAACACTGTTTATCACAGACTGATTGGCGGTCGCATTTATTCTATTGGTTGGGTTGGGTTAATCCAATATATATTATTATTTATATTGGAAAAGGGCCATAGAATTTATTTGAAAAATTGCTTAATCATAATTTTATTATGTGTAAATATTATTAACAATTATTTTATCTAACGTAATACAGGTCGATACCATAATAACTTTCATAAAAAAATTATTTTCCGAAAATGTTTATTTTAATTAATACTGTCAAATCAAATAAAATTTTAGGCTATACAAAATCAAAGAAAATGTTGATTTCTAAAAAAATTAGATGAAATATTTGACAATTTTTTTTATTTAATCTATTCTTTTTTTATAAAATCTCTTAAAACTTACAGAACAACTTATGGAAAGTTGTGATGGAAGGGTGTGTAAAAGAGAAATATTTGAACGCATTGAAATTCATACACCAAAAAATTCTCTTGTTTTGTATACTCAGCTCGTCAAAAAAATAATTTTTTCTATGAGGCTTTTATAGTTTAATAAGGTAGATTGCATTAAAAAAAATTTTTTTTTCTTTTATAATACAGATAAATTAAATTTTTAATTTATTCGAATATTCAATTGTCCCATCGACGACTATACGTCGTGGCATTTCTGTTTTTTTACAAAAGTCCAATTGCTNAATTTTTTTTTCTTTTATAATACAGATAAATTAAATGTTTAATTTATTCGAATATTCAATTGTCCCATCGACGACTATACGTCGTGGCATTTCTGTTTTTTTACAAAAGTCCAATTGCTGTGACAGTCAAATACTATACTGTTTAAAATACTTGATATGTAAACCCATTGCATTATTACTTATGAATTAGTTGTACGTAATTTGATTCTTGTAAACACTAAGTAAAATAGTATAAAAACTTTGTTTGAATTTTTATTTAAAGAAGTTTACCTACTGGCACAACCATTTGAAATAATGGGTTTTGTTGGATACACATTACGAGAGGGCGTTTTGCTACATCATTTTTTTTATGACTGCTAACGTCTCTCGCACTACCACCACTGGTTGTTATCTACGTTGAATGTTAGTGTACATGATTATTGTGTCTCGCCGAACTATATCGGTCCCTTTTGTGAATTTTGCGTTCTCGCCACCATTGCTGGCCCTTGCTACGTGGTTCTATGGTGCTCCTAGCTCATAGTCGTTTAAATGGATTAACCACCCTGGTGATTCATCGTGGGTATAGCATTTCTATACCAGTCTATGCCATTGTGCGCCCTTCGTGTAGATAACAAGTGCCTCCGTTTATATCGACTACCCTTGTAGTCTTAAACATTTTACTATAAAGTATTTCAACTGTTCATTTCACCGTCATCAGTCATCTTTCATCTATTGTACGTTACACAGTTAAGTTTTTATTTGTTTGTAATTATTATATTATATTTTATCTATTTTGTTCAGAGATGCCTTGTTGGTCATTTTAGTATTAAGTGACCCACACCCAATCCACAATTCTATGATAGTTTATATATATATTGTTACTTTAATATATAACTCCTTGTCTTGCAATTCTTATTATTTTATCTAATGTAAGTACCATCCTCTTATACACAGTCCACTCCCTATTTCTTTCTCCGGCATAATTAGACAACTCAACCGGACATTAACTAACCCGCATATTATATCCGGGCGTTCCGTTCAATCAGGGTTAAACACAATTTTAAAAGTAAAATCCTCCAACTCTGATGATTTATTTATTTAAATTACTTTAAATTTAAGTTATAAATACTACTATAAAATATGTTAAATTTAAATTTAAAATCTAGCGAAAAAATAATGAAAAACCTTCAAAGTAAAAAAACACAGTACAGGGAGGTCGCGGCACAGATGTGACGTGGCATAGTTGGATCAAGTATAATGATATATGACAATGATTAAAATTACTATAAAAAAAACGCTTCGATGCAAATCTTTAAATAGTGTTTAATTTTAAAAAATTGGTAGATTATTCCAAAAGCTACATGATCTCCTAATTCCTTATTAATATCCTGATTAAGATAAAGTATGTCGCATGAAAAAGGGATTATTAAAAAATATTATTTACATAAAAAAATAATGTTGATCCATACATTTTTCAATTAGTTAGAGCATAATAAAATTAAAACTGTAAAATACAAAATCGAAAATTTTCACACAAAAATAGTATTTGGTAGCCATTTTCACCGTGAAGATAAAATAAAGTCCGAAATTTTTTTTTACTATAATAAAATATATTACATTAACTTTAATTTAATATATATATATGAAAGTGTCAGATCTTCCGTAACACTTTCAAAAGTTAAGTTGAAAAAATTTTACTGTCTAAATGCATTTTTCATATTTGAACCCCCCNCCCCCCCCCCCTTGGTTATAAGGAAATAGTCTGATTTAAAAAAAAAGTATGTCGAATGAAAGATGAATATAACTACTACTTCTCGTGAAAAAATTGTATTGATCCCCATTTCGAAAATTAGCGATTTTTAAATTTGTAATTTTTTGGAGATTTCCCTCATTAACGGGGAACGAGGGAAATTTTTTAAGGGTAATGTCTTCGATAAGATACTATTTGTGATCTTTTGACGTATCGTTGATAAAAATCTGTTCGGTGAGAGCTGAGTAAAAGTGGTAAAAAGTACAAAAAAGAAAACATCATTGTTCGTGCCACAGAATAGGGCGACACTGTTTAAAGCTATCACACTTCATGTTGTCTTTTTTGTGATAAAAGACTGATATATTTTTTTTATGGTTATGGAACTACATGTGATAATGGAAGAAATGTGTTCTTCTGAGCAATCTTTTTTTTATGTTTTTTGTTTGTTCTTGGCCAATTGAGGTTTACTCAACTATATGAAGAAAGAAGAAATATGTTCTTCTGAGCAATCCTTTTATGTGGATATTTTGTTCTCAGCCGNTTCTGAGCAATCCTTTTATGTGGATATTTTGTTCTCAGCCGATTGTGGTTGCTCATTTTGTCAGGATATGTGTACCTCACAGCAACATCATCTCAAGTAAAAATTGCTAAATTAAATAAAAGAAGTTGAACCATAAAATTTGTTCCTCATCCACTTATGCATAAGTATTTATTGATGTAAATAACTTGTTATTTTCTATTGGAAAGTTATAATAAATATATTATATTTATATACATTTATTTATTTATTTATTTATTTATTTATTAACGCCAATCGGCTTTTTTGAAAAGATACAATAAACATACAGTATATAGTAAAAGTAACAGTGAAATAATTTGACAAATGTAAAAATAATAATAAGTGTATCTCCGTATAAAGCTAAAGATTAACTTATATTCACGCATAAGCTTAATTAAGGGTGCATTTTTAGCAAAATTGGAGCTGCTTAGAGGTAAATAAAATTGACACTGAAACCTAGTATTACAGGGTACAAGAATATCAAGTCGTTCTAATAAACGTGGGGCATCAATATCACCATTTAATAATCTATCGATAAAATATTTACCGAATTTTACACGTCTAAATTCTAAGGATTCAAGATTAAGAAATTCATTTATTGGACCGTAATCATGGGCTGGGTGCGCAATATTAAGGGTATAACCAGCGAAACCTAGAAATCTATTTTGAACCTTTGTAATTTGGCGTTTGTCAACTGCTGTGTAGGGTAACCATATCAATGTTCCATATTCTAAAGTCGATCTAACAAGAGAACTATATAAAGCAACTAAACAATTACGAGATTTGAAATTTGAAGAATTACGACGAATAAATCCTAACACACGCAGAGCTTTACCAACTATGAAGTCAATATGTGGTCTAGAGTCTAGCGAAGGAACAAAAACAATACCCAAGTCATTTACTTGAGAGACACGTTTTAACTGTACTCTGTCAAGACAGTAATTGTGACTTATCATTTCACGAGTTCGGTAAAAGGACATGACTTTACATTTATCAACATAATTAAGACATAAACCGACTGTCTTACACCAGATGAAAAATTGATCTAAGACTTTTTGGAGAGTCAAACAATCATCACTCTTAAAAATTTTAAATAATATTTTAGCATCGTCAGCAAAAAATAATATACGACATGGAGAGACAACAGAAAAAATACCATTTATAAAAATGTTAAACAATAACGGACCTAAATGACTACCTTGAGGTACTCCACTAGGAGTAGGAAACATATTAGATGAATTGCCAAATAAATGGACAAACTGACTTCTTCCACTTAAGTATGATTTAATCCAAGACAAAAAAAGGTTCACCGACTCCTAATCGGTCTAAGATGAAAACTAAAATATTATGATTAATGAAGTCAAAAGCTTTACAAAAATCTGTATAAATTACATCAACTTGTAATTTAGATTCTAATGCTTCATGGATATAGGACATAAAGTCAAGAGAACTAGTAATATTGGAGCGTTTAGGGGGGAAACTATGTTGATCGACTGATAAAATTGATAAAAATATTTGCTGAATATGTTTTAAAACAATCGACTCAAACATTTTACCTTACCAGGGCAAACACGAAATAGGTCGATAGTTTTTGACATCAGAAGGATTACCATGTTTCAAAATAGGAGTCACTCTACTAATTGTCCAAGAAGAAGGGAAAACACCTTCATTGAGGGACTTGTTGTAAATAAGGGAAATAGGTACACTGAGTATATCACGACAACGGTATAAAAACAAAAAAGAAATTCCATCAGGACCCAAACCTCATGTATTTACCAAAAATTCTAAAGCCTTGTATACTTCATCACAAGATATAGAAAGAGAAGAGGGAAGGAAAGTGAAATGAGATAAGTTAAGTTCATCAAGATGATCTGTTGAGGGTATGGAAAGATTTTTATAAACGGACGAAAAATAAGACGAGAAAAGATTAGAAACTTGGATACCTGAGGCTTTATCAGTACCGAGGAAAACTTCGTCAGGAATTTTATTCTCACCTTGGCGTTCGCAAACAAATGACCAGAACATACGTGGGTTACTACATAAGCGTTCTTGAGTAATATTTAAATAATTATTATATAGATACTTGGATTCAGCCTTACGTTGGCCGCGCAGGGGAGAAAAATTATAGTACAAGAAAGCATTTCCATTAATTTTGTATAGTTAATGAGCATATTTCTTTTTAACTAAACGATTTTTTAATTTGGTAGACACCCAGGGAGGGAAGGTTGACTCACTAAATGTCTCCATAGGTATAAATTTATGAAGGATATCTGTAAGGTTTGTTTGTAAAAAAATCAGCAGCTTCATTGGTTGACAACAAACTGAAATTATCAGACCAGTTAATAGAATTAAGTGCTTCGTGAATCAAATCATAATTAGCATTATTAAAGTCATATTATTTATGTTTGGTATCAAGTGGGGGAATAGTATGTTGGTTAAGACAAGATATTGATAGTGCAGGATGGTAAGAATCACAGGGCAAAAGGTAATCAAGAGCATTTAATTAATTTACTAAAGCAATTTATTAACATGAACATTACTAGCATTAGTGAATAACAAATCAAGAGTAGAACCATTAACGTTTCTTATTCCATTAGTCTGATTAAAATTAATTAGAGAATACTGGTACCTATTAATCGGACTTTGTCAAATATAGAACCATAATATTCAGATCTAGAAGAAGTATTTATCCATGTAACATTTGGAAAGTTAAAATCACCAAATACCATACCAAAATTAAAATTATTTGAACGCCAAATTCGATCTAATGAAGCTGCATGATTTTCATAGGTGCCAATATCAGAACCAGGAGGCAAATATACACAAGCAATAAGCGCTACAATTCCTCCGTATAGAGTAATCTGTACAAAGATTTGCTCAACACTAGCATGGGGGGATTTGATTAAAACGGGTTTAAGCACATTCTTTACAGCAATAAGAGTTCTTCCTCCCCGTATACATTTACTAGTATAGGAATTACGATCACATCTAAAAATCATACATCCTTCAAAATCTAACTCAGAATTAGAGATGTCCACTGAAAGCCAAGTTTCAGATAAAAGAAATATATCATAATTAAGAATGACTAAATTAGTACGTAAATTAAATAACTTTGTACGAAGGCCACGGACATTTTGGTAGTACATTTTAAGTGGTTTATAACAATTATTAGTATTAGAATTGCGAACAATGTTTACAAGAATGAGATAAAATGGAAATTACAGAGTTAGGCTCCGAGTAATTCCGAAATTTACAAATAAAATTAAAATACACATTAACAGAAGATATAATATTAGTGCAAATAGAACAATCAGAATTTATATTTAAGGAAAAGTTGTGACGGCATTACGGATTGATGAAGAAGTGATCCGAAACTAGTTTTTTGAAGCCTGAACGGTGGAGTGTTGTTGTGGTTGGCGAAATGATCTAGNAGAAGATATAATATTAGTGCAAATAGAACAATCAGAATTTATATTTAAGGAAAAGTTGTGACGGCATTACGGATTGATGAAGAGTGATCCGAAACTAATTTTTTGAAGCCTGAACGGTGGAGTGTTGTTGTGGTTGGCGAAATGATCTAGTGCGGTGGTCATCAGCAACAATAAGTGGCACGCCATTTACATATCTTATTATTATATTAGATTCACCTTTATTCTTACGTTCTGTAAGATTGGAATATACACCACGGATGTAACTACACTCTAATATGGTACGATCACGAGTAATAGATAATGGAAATTTGGATGAACTTGAATCGCGAGATCTCTAAGCAATATTATAATTAGATAAGAAATTAATAGCAATGTCCTTTGAAGGAAAAATGATTTTAAGGACCTCTTTCATTTACTCGGCCCAACCGAAATAACTTTAAATTATCCGGCAGAATCCCTGACAGAGGTTTTAGATAGTCAGATAAAAATTTAGAGTCATCAGAAATTCTAACAGCCGGTAAAGAAAAAAACTACTCAGGAAGTTCATGTACAATAATATTACTTGAGTATTTTTCACGTTCAGATAGTTCTTGAAGAAGTTGAGGAAATATATCAGTGGCTGATGTAATACCAGGATTAGATTGAATATTAGCTTTGAGTTGGCTTAATTCAATTTTCAGATTGTCATTTTCTTTCTTAAGAGCTAATAGATCACTAACTAAGTTATTCATTTTGGCAAGTATAGCATCATTAGTCTTCTCTTGAGTCAACAATTTGGATTTTATCGATTGAATATCGCTATGCGTGGATTTGAGTGAATTCATAATATCCGTAACAGAGTATTCATCAATGCTAGACTTGGATTTAGACTTAACTTGTGGCGAAGACGAAATATCAAATAAATAGAAAGTTGACCCTTAAAAATTTTGCGGAAGCAACCAGTGTGGCAGTGTAGTACAAGTAATTGACTACGTCGTTTAAATATTAAAATGTAGAAATCAGCAACAAAGATACTAGCGTTAAAGTCTCTAGAAAAACAGCTGATCAGATTTGAATAATTAGTAACACTAAAAACTAACGTTTTAAACAGCTGGTCGAGTAGTAGCAAAACACTTAGAATTGATAAGACATAAACATATTACCGTGTAATGATGGAGTAATTATTACTTTGAACTAAGAGAAAACTTCTCAACAGTGGCTTAGACAAAATAAAACTACTAACAATTACGAATTAGCATCCAATAAATACAATTTAAAAAACTATTAAAATAAAGAGAACAGCTAAACAGCTAAAATAATTTAAGCAAAAAAGAGTAAAATTTATCACTGTTATCTATAGTGTTAATTTATAATGTGCGTGAATTGAGATTTAAGTCATTTAATATATTCCTGAGAAATTAAATAAAAATGTTGTTAAAGGTTTACTAACTGTTAAGATTATTTATAGTTTAATGTTATAATAATATATTTTTTTTATTGACATTCACTTTCATTATAGGAAAAATAAATCATTCATTTTTTTATCAGAATATGATTATTGTTATTCATCTCAAATGAAAATTTGTTTGTGTTCTTTTACCAGTTAAGGCCTTGTGAGCCTAGTAGCCCTTTCGATCATAGTAAAATTAATATCTTCTCAACTTCGCATCGAAGCTAAAATAAAAATTTTTATATAATTTTGACATCTATTAACTAAGTGTATAAAATAAATTATTTCTGAGTTATTTTTTAAAACTATCAAATCAAATTAAAAGGTTTAATTTTTATATGTAATATATATATAAAACAAAAAATGTCCTATATGTATTAAAATTTACAAGCATTAATAAATTAGATAAATAATATTCTAAAGCGGTGTTATTTACAACTGAAAATCAAAATATAACTATTTCTACTATAAATGCTTTCTTCAAATCAAGTAGTACCTAATAATGTTTTAAAATGTATTTTTTAAATTAATCTGAATACCAATATGAACAATTTTTATTTTTATTCTAGACAATTGAATTAATTTATTAATAATCTATGCAGCGGCATCATTTTAGATTATAATGGATTGGGTAAAATTTTTAACCAGTCCATTATTTTACAAAGCCGCTTGTATCACGCGCAATTATTTTTGGTTTTCTTTAGTTACACATTATTCTTGAATTATTAACTATTTAAAACGTTTTATGTTCATCCCTTATGCCTTGTAAGGGTGTCAATTTTGTGTTTTTAAATGGGAACACATATTTTGAATCAAATAAAATGTTTGAGTTTTTAATTTAATAATAAATGGAATTTGAATTTTTAGTATTGATAAAAAAATCACACTGTATAACCAAAAGAACCATATTTTATTTGCATTTTGAAATCGACCACGAGGTTTCTAGAAGATTAATTTAAATTATAACCAGCAAATTTGTCGTAAGCAAAACTCTAGATATTACTTTTATTATTTATTGACTACATTAATTTTATGATACTAAAAATAAGTATTATAACCAGTGTACTTTTGATAACGTTTTTAAACACAACTTTCACTCAGAAATTGAGTTTATATTTTAAAAAATGTGTAACTATGATAGCATTTATGAAAAAAATCAAAATGGGATTTAACATCCAATATTGTAAGGTGATCGACTAAGTTAATAAAGTAGGAAAAAAATTCTAAAAATTATTCACTTAAATGGTGTTACCAGGAGGACTGATAAGACTGCAGCTACACCTCGCATCCACGAATTTCACGCGATAACCAATTATTTACTAAATATTGTACTTTAAAATGGATCTTAAGTAAAAAAAATCATTATAAAACAATACAATTTTGCTTATATCACCCCAGAAAAAGGTTTTTAGCTCCGTCCCTGATTTATTATCATTAATTAGTTATATTGTTTTTTCGTATATTCAGAATGGGAACTCACTATTATGATAATATAGGAAAAAATTATCAAAGTACTAATAATTCTAAGATATATTTTACTAATTATTTTCTTTGCAATTGTAGTAATTTTACAAATACCGAAAATATTTCTTTCAACTAAGCAAACAAATTTTCCCAACTGCACAAATAGTAATAAACTACACTTTAAATTATTGCTTGACTAGGTATATTTACAAATATATGTGTATTAATAAATCAAAAGTTGCTATAAAAAACTAAAAATTATTTTATTTTTCGTGATTGTTATTTGATTAAATATAGTTTGATATAAATTCAGTAGTTAATTTTAAAATATATGAAATGTTTCATTTATTAAACAGTAAACAAATTTTTAATGTTTATTAAATTATTTATGAACTTTACAATATATCATTTAGAGTATTAAAGTCTGCCTAATACCTATAATTATTTTCTATAATAAATTTATCGTTTACTGTATTATATGATAAATGTATTGACTTTATTATTTCAAACGCAACAATTATTTCTTATATTTATAAATATATTCATATTTCATATGAAGCTATCAGCATTTGAGTGAATGTTTTAATGTAAACACAAAATTAATTAAAAATACTATATGTGTTATTTTTAAATTAATAGCAGCCAGACATTTCATAAAATTTCAAAACAAAAAAATTAGTATTTTGTAGATCGGCTTTATCAACTTTTAGGCCGATAAATTAATATAATTCTAAAAATTTACAGTATTAATTTATACAAATTAAAATTCTTAATATGAATTTTAATAAAACTTTATATTGTGAAGTAATACATTTTTATTAAAAGAATTATTCAAGTAACTTAAAATAACGTTATACTATAATTAAATAAAAATATTAAGTAGAATTAAAAAGGAATATAAGTTTGATAAGTAACAATATTTTGACAGTCATACGACGCGCACTGTTTGAATATATTACCTGTGACCTTAGACTCATGATAATTTTAATTTAATATTAATTACGTTACAAGTTTATACTGTGTTTATACAGGATGATTTTTCTAATTATATTTAGATCGCGAAATTATATGCATTTATAATTTTGTTTGAGCCACTTTGGTAGGTCTCATGTTTATGCAACTTTATTGTAGGATTATATACAGGGTGTTCAGTAAGTCAGGAAACGGGTTTTTATTGTTCTCATTGTTTGTAACAATGAGAACATTATAGAGTGTTATAAATTATATATTGAGTAAATAAAGAAACGGGTTTCTATTGTTCTTATTATTAGTAACAACTGACTTGTTTCCTTACTTACCGAAAACTCTGTATAACATAACAAAGTTTTATCAAACCTTAATTTTGACAAATACAAATTATAAAATTTCCTCCGGAGTTTCAAAAAATAATTATATATTGTTAATAACTAACGAAATAGCATTAGTGAAATGTATACAGGGTAATTAATTGAGAATAAGATAATTTAATTACTAATTACTACTCATTATTTGGCACCTTTATTACTAATTGCTACTAATTTTTTTACACTTTTATTAATAATTGCTATTAATTTATTTCATATCTTTAATACTAATTATCACTAATTTATTGACACTTTTATTACTAATAGCTACTAATTTGTACACATCTTTAATACTAATTGCCACTAAATTTTTAACTTTTTAATTTTTAATTTTTAAATATTTTAATTTAATTTAATCACAAATTCTTTTTCTTGTGTGTATCATCTTCAATGAACTCGTGTATTTTGTGTTTCTTTTCCTTCGAAAATCTTTTTCCCTTAGTTTATAAGGTTCGGGAAACGGTCTTGTCTAAGGAGATTATGGTTATCTGACAACTTATCAATAGGTTTTGATGTACATCAACAATCAACAACTCATCAGACAACAATTACAGCTTTAATTATTTATAAGTTTACAATTATGTCTATATTTAATATTATTATGAATGGTTAATTATAAAAAAACATTTTCTTTTCCTGAGTATTTAGTAGTAACTTAATTCAATTATGACCTTAAAATTGAACAACATAATTTTTTTTATTCTTATTATTTTTGAAAGATAACTTATATGTTTAATTTTCTATTTTTATTTCAAATCTTACTCTGGTACGACAATCATTATCTTACCCAGTAAACTGACAACCCTATAGTTTATTTATGTTCCTAGCGCCATGAAAGTTGCAAAAGTTATCTGTTGTGGCCAAAATTCGACATTCATAATGTGTAACCTTTTACTATTAATGGCAAATCAACTTAGAGGTCACATTATTATCAACACTACCTCCAAATTATCACAATTTGCTGGTACATGGGTGTATAATCTATCGCTCATTGATGTACCAATCGAGTTAGATAGAAAATATATAGGTGACATATTGTTCTTTAAATTCTGAATGGATGAAAGATTTGATTGAAAGGAATAAATTTAATTAGTTTATAACTAACTTAAAACTAATACTTAAAAAAATTTCAGTGCGTGCATTACTTTTCCAATCTAGTGGAATTGGCTACAAACAGATTATTTCTAGGAATAGATTCTTTGAAGAGAAAGATCTTCTATTCGTGACTTTTCCACTCAAACTCGAAAATGACCGGATTAAAATAACATAAAAACAACAAGTTTACAAAATAAATAGTTTTTTTTATTAAAAAAATTTATATATTTATACATTTTTTTTTTGTTTCTATACTATATTGTAAATTATACATTTTTAAATACATCAGAGTTTTCATACTTCACACGTGAAATTCCATTTGACAGTCGTGAATAATTACACAATACAATTATGTTTTATCGAGAAAGTGTTTAGAGTATTCGAAATCCAAACGTAGATCAACCGTTGAATACTTGAAGGTATGGTTTTGTTTAGAACAATCAATCACGATTATAGGTCCACGTTTTTTGTAATTTATATAATCTATTAAAGGGTACGAATCTTTACGACTGTAGTACATTTTCTGGAATTGTGAGTATGAGATGTAAAATGTTGTGTACTTGTTGTTGTCGAAATTGGCGTTTTGGTTCTCGTAGGGGTATTTGTTCACATTCAGATACGCTTTGACGTTTCTCAACGAACAGTGATCGAAATCTATAAGAACGTGTTCTATGGAGCAAACAAACGTGCGCATCAACCACGTATGATGAGTTGTCTATGGTACCAAACTTCAACGTCCCAGTGTTGGAATTCTAACGGGAGCCATTTCTTGCTGTCCAGAATTGTTGTTTTGTTAAAAATTATAAACACAATTTATTTCGTTGGAGTTTTGATATCTACTATAATTGTGCACGATTGTGCATCCTTTAAAGTATCGTTGCAGTTCCAACGGTGGTCATAAATTACCAAAACTATCAAATTACGTAACGCATTTACCACGTTTACTATAAGCTACCCAATGTGTGCGAGGGTAAGTGAAAAGGTCCAAATTCACTATAGTCATTTCGGTTATTTGAGGTCCTGATTGCGGTAACGTGTCATGACAAAATACGTCACGAAACACTTTACAATCAAGAATACAGTTACCGAAATTTACAATGTCAACATCATACAAGGCACGATCGGGTAGCTGCGAAATTAATTTTTTGTGCCGATCGTTTTTGTTTTTATCCTTTCTTATCTCCGCCGTCGAATTTAGTACTTCTCGTATGTCTTACAACCGAATTGTTGTAGATAAAAACTTTTACCCGTGCTTATCGCTGTATTGCCTTTACGGCTGAGTGCGATCGCCACCTTGACTACATTTGCAGCATGGATGATCGGTGAGATAGTTGGAAGTATCAAAGTATTCAAACAGATATTTTTTCAAAATTGACCATTCAAAATTTCCAAGTGGCATAGGTTTTATTTAAAAAAAAAAACCTGTTCCATATAAAATTGTAGCATCTAGGTATTGCAGATATTTATGTAGAATATTGGCATTGTAATCGGCGATGTCTGGGTGATTTGCTCGAGCGTACCGCTGATTGACCTATATTAAATATAATATATATATTAGGGTGGTCCTTAGTTATAGAAGAAAAAAATTTTTTTAACAAATTCAGAGTCATGGGCTCAAAATTTCGTTAGGTTCACTGAAAAAATGAAACTGGTAAAATTTGAGTACAATAAGTCAACCCCTTCACGTGCCTCAAAGGGGTTGAAGTTCTTAAAAAATGGGGTGGATTATCTTTTTTTGAGTGTACGCTCTTTATTTTTGAAGTTTCGCCAAAAACACAAAGAACAATTTTTATAGAACTAAATGTGAACCAAAAATAAGGTAATATATTATTTTTTTGTAAAATTAATATTTTTCGTAAAAATAAGAAAAATCAGTTTCACTTAATTTTTTTTAAAAAATGACATAGTTTTCAGTACTTTTCCAGTGTCTTAAATTTTAATTGTACGCAGAAATTGTACAAAAGTAATATTAATCACCGTGATATCTTCTATAAAAAATGTTATTTGAGTTTTTTTTTAATTATGAATCCTTTCCAAAAAAAAATTTAAAATAACTACGGAAACGTGTTTTTTTTTTTTTTTAATTTTTTTGCATGTATATTTTTTTGTTTATAAACGAACAAATTTTCTTAGTTATATTAAATAAAAAAAAAAAAAACAAACACAATAAAATAATAGTTGTAATAGATGAGTGTTTAATATTTTGGAGAAAAGCGCGTATTCCTACACAGTATTCTTCAAACTGTGTTATTAAATTAAAAATATTGTATGAGAAATAGAGAAAGTTGGACTAAAATAAATCTAGAAAAACAGAAACACAAGAACAACATTACAATATTTTTTCTAAAGGATTAGACAACCTCTTTGACATTTCTCATATCGAAGCTCTGAATATGATGAGTATTGAAGAAGACAAACAGTTTTTATTGTCGCAACTTAAAAAAGGCCGCTCAGGGGCATGCTTGGTATTGATATGAAGTTAACAGGTATTGAAAAACGTAAAATTACTCAACAAGAAGAAGAAGATGATCGAAAGAAAAAAGAGAAGTTAGAAATCGCAAATTGTACAGGTAATTATTAAATATTACACAATAATTTCAGTACGTTATAAGTAAGCAATTTTTGTATACTGAAGTATTTTATTATTTAGCCGAAACTCAATATTATAGCAGCTCTAGCTCGGAGGACGAAGATACTGATATGAAGGAAAACGTTGAAGAAATGATTCAATTACCTGGGCCTTCAAAAGAAGTAAATGCACTAGAAGATATATGTTGTTTTGTAGTTGAATGTTATATTAAAATGTGGTTTTCAGCTGCGAACATTGTAACAGCTCCTATAAATGATTTAATGTTATTAAAAAAGTTATTAAACTATAGTAATAATAAACTAGGAGAAGTAGCTATAAAAAAATTTATAAACCATTTAGGGTATTTAAATGATAAGTGTGCTGTGTTTTCTTTATTTGATGATCGACTTGACATTAATACTAAGCAGCGAATGGCAAAAAAAATATTAAAAGGTTATGACAGAGCACGAATGAAGAGCCAGAAAAAAATGAAGATTCAAATTAAAAATTAATTTTAAAATATGAAGATTTATCAGTTTTTCTAGAAAAAGATCTTCTTTTTTCGTTGCTCAGCAACAATTCATGGAAATTATTCGAGCGATTTATATTAAAATTCAAGTTTTTATATGAAGATCCTACCACATGGGAAATAAATAATGAATACAATAACGCCAAAAAAAATATTATCCTCCATAAAAATAGTAAACGACAGAATTCAACGACAAATTTACAAGGGATGAAAATCAAAAGCAATTTATATTACAAGTATGAAATAATATAACAATACTGCTAAATTTTAAATTTTAAATTACTATATTTGTATTATAACCTTTACTTTGGACTATTTTAGGTGGTTCAACAATATCGCCAACTGTATCCCAGTTGTAGCCAAGAAATTTTGAATAAAAAATATTCAAATTGGAAAAACTATTATTGTGATAAACAACTATTATTTTATTGTGTTTGTTGTTTTTTTTTTTATTTAATATAACTAAGAAAATTTGTTCGTTTATAAACAAAAAAATATACATGCAAAAAAATTAAAAAAAAAAAAAAACACGTTTCCGTAGTTATTTTAAATTTTTTTTTGGAAAGGATTCATAATTAAAAAAAAAATCAAATAACATTTTTTATAGAAGATATCACGGTGATTAATATTACTTTTGTACAATTTCTGCGTACAATTAAAATTTAAGACACTGGAAAAGTACTGAAAACTATGTCATTTTTTAAAAAAAATTAAGTGAAACTGATTTTTCTTATTTTTACGAAAAATATTAATTTTACAAAAAAATAATATATTACCTTATTTTTGGTTGACATTTAGTTCTATAAAAATTGTTCTTTGTGTTTTTGGCGAAACTTCAAAAATAAAGAGCGTATAAATTTATACTACACGATTAAATACTTTTTTTGTATTTTTTCACGCATAAAATAAGAGTTTAAAATATGAAAATATAAAAAATTGTGATATTTATAAAAAAAATGACTAGAATGAAGAGAACGATTTTCTCGAATTTTAACCTCTTCATGCACGAGATTTTTTTTCCTTAAAAATAAAATATTTAAATTGCAAATCAGATTGCTAATTACCTTATGATATTATTAAAAATAAAAAATTATTTTTTTTTTTTTGATTTTGACTTACTAAAAATAAGGTTTCAGTATATGATATCATATGATAACATCGTGCAATATTTGAAAAAAAAAATATTCATATTGTTTAATTTTTTAAAAATTATGGTCATAGATAATATATACTTTACTAAAACAAATTTTTACGCTAATTTCTAGCCTGAAATTTTAATGAAAATAAAAAACTTCATCTAGTGTTAATAAATTTAAAAAAAAATGTATGAAATATTTTTTAGATTGATATATATTCAGGAACTATTATAATTATTATTAACAGTATACTTACGAAGAAAAGCTTAAAATTCCCATTATATTAGTTAAATTTGTTTTTAAATAAATANCCATTATATTAGTTAAATTTGTTTTTAAATAAATAAAAAGTATTAAATACAGTTATAAATATAATATATTATATGAGATAAAAATTTCGTTTTTATAAAGTTAAAAAAAAGTAAATAAAAATTACAAATTTCGATTAATGATAGTATGATTTACCATAACAAAATACATACAAGTTACACCGGACATCGCGTCGTCGACGCCAGCGAAAGTGCCGCGATATTATGCGAAGATTATTATTACTGTGTTTATCTTTTCGGTTTGTTTTATTTTTGTTAAAATAATCTGTTGTCGCTCATTTAATAAACGGCCCACGGAGCTCTACCCTCAAAACCAGTGTCGACCACATTTTTGCGACGTAAGTCGTGTCAATCTGAACACCTTCTTCAACTTTTTGTTTCATGTCAACATGATTCAGGTCAAGATAATACGCGTCTCCATTAGGAGCAAGATTTTTTAATTGGTTTATGTACTCTTCGATGAATGGATTATAATATGGTATATTCTCTTTTATAAATTGTATCCCTTTGGCCGTATAATAATCATTGTTAAAATGTATTAATTTTTTTAAGACAAGTAAAAAATCAATTAAGTTTACGTTTTTTAACTCCTTATAAATATTATTAAGTATGAATTTATTAACTTCTTTGTAAAATTTTAAGTTATGATTATTAAATTCAAAATAATCCAGTCCTTTAAACATACATTGTAATAAGGTATGAAATACCTGAATCATTTGTGTTGACCTCTTGTGTTCAGTTAATAAGAACTCAAAACTACCTGTTTCATTTTCAAGACTATATAAGCATATAATATGGAAAAAACTATATATTTCATGTTGTAATGTTCCATAAAGATTACTTAGTACATATGCAGCTTTGAGTTTCTTATCATTTTCATTCAAATCATCATCAAGTGATTGTTGAAGTAAATTTTTTTCATATTCGTCACCAAAGAGGTATATTCTATAATATATTTTTTAACCCAACCCAACCCAACCAGGGAAATTTAGTATTTCCGTTATTTTTCGTTCGTCTTTCATCAAACCACTAGAAAACGAATGACTACAATAAAGATAAGTTAGTAATACAAGAAATATAAACCTAGTTAAATTCATCCTCAATTATCGAAAAGTTAATCAAAGCTACAAGACTTTAGTCTCAAATGTTGTAGGTATAATGCCTGTAAATTTTTATCAATCTATAAACAAAAAGATTGTATTAAGTGTTCACGTTATTAGAACATGACAAAAATATATAAGTAATTTAAAATTTATTTTTAATATAATGGAAAATTGTATTGACAAATCGTAAATAATATATTTATCACATTATTTTAACGGTTCTAAAATAAGATAAACAATAAGTACATATATCCATGATCATTATAGTTATAATAAATCATTAAATAGCAAATGTAATTAAAAAAACGGTAGAACAATATGGATGTGGCATAGTTGGGACAAGTATAGATTATATCTGACAGCGATTAAAATAACTACCATAAGAAACGCTTCAATGCATATCTGTAGATAGTGTTTAATTTTAAGAAATTGGTTGATTATTTCGAAAACAACAATAACTCTTATTCCCTTATTTTTATCCCGATTAGTTATTTGATTTATAATTATTATATATGAATAAATAATAATTATAGTAATTAAATTTAGTATGATATTGATATTCAATAATTTAATATTGTAATATTTACGGAGATATTATAAAAGCAATTAAGTAGTTGTATATTTCTTTACTATTAACACGTATACAAATTTAAAGGGCTCGATGCAATACTTTTTAATAAAAAAATTTTTGTTACTTATATCAAAGTTATAAGTTCTATACACTGGACTACAAGGAACTTTCATCAGAAACAAAAATATACTTTTCTAAGTCAACTAGGTATTTACATTGTTGCGTACACAGTCATATGGTGTCTTTGTTGTGACCGCCCCATCAATATGTGACTGACCGCTGGTAAAAATAACTGGACGAGTTACTCGCGTCTCGATAAACGAATCATTATTCATTCGCAATTAAACGCTCGCTCAAGTATCTGAACAGTATAATATCGTTACTTTTTTTTCTTTTGTGATTTTTTAATTATCGCGAAAGGCGTATAGGTTCACAATTTCGCACCTGAGGTCTATACTGGTTATGTGCACGCGACCGTTTTTCTGACGAGTTAACTTCATTCCACGCTGATGAACGTGTTCGGCCGCCGATCAGATGTAGCGCCACTTGCGTACAACCGGTTAACGCGATCGAAATTGTTGCGCGTCGTGGTGTACGGGCGAGTCTGTGTTTGGCGCTTATGCTAAAACGATCCTATGACGGACAGTGGAGTGCCTC